AAAGTTATTCACTTTTAAAGATTTCATGTAGATGTGCAAATCTGCATGAAATCTTTAAAAATGAATAACTTTTTTTATATGCTTTTATCCTAGTTCTAACAATTCAGTGTTGTTCTTTTTTGTTGTCCACAGGGTGTCATACTTTCAATTTGCACATATAAACTGTAGAATTTTTATATTAATCAAATGTCATGAAATTGAGCAGACTGCTTTATCGACCTTGTATAAATATCATTAAATATGGCTGACCTTTCAGCATCCTCTATACAAATCAAATGTCAAAATTGATAAATTCCAAATGGCGGATTCAATACAGCGAATGTCAAAACCGTCAAAACTTAAAAATTTAAATGTTTAAAATTATGTGTGCTTCTGTGTGTATGTGTGCGCTCGCGCGGGTGCGATTCGCAGATAGGTTTTACTTTTTATGTAAGCTTTAAATTGAAAATATGAACTCCGTAAAATAAACAAAATTAAACGCTTTGAAATTGCCAATGATTTAATTCAAAGCTTTTCCGTAATAGATCCCATGTTTAACAACAAATAACTTGTTATCATAATGAACACAAAATATTCTTTTTGAGGGTTCTGAAAGTTCCAACAACATACTTCATTTTAATTGCAAGATCACTTCTCTAGCACGTTGCATTTCGAAGTTATAATATGACAAAGTACGTGAAAATAGCCCTTTTTTGCAACTTTACTTACAAATCTAAATTGTAACGTGAAAGAGCATTTCTACAATTGGATACGGATTCAGCGTCCAAAAAACTACAGAAAATGACTAGTCTCGTTATGGTGTTCAAAGTCATTTTTTGTTGAACAGTAATTAAATTATATATTAACTTACAGAATCGACAGCATCTTGCGCATCTTTGCTACCAGTAGCTAAATTTCTTGTACTTTTCGTTAGCTTTTCAATCCATGAAAATTCTGCTGCTGGGCTTTTAGCTGTCTGATATACTAAAATAAAATCAATTATTCTATTAATAAATGTCTTCTACATGAAAATTATTATACATTGGATACATATGTGCATATACATATATCTTGAGAGATACCTTCTATCGCTCGAAATATCTCTGATACTAAGGAACTGGTTGCTTCTCCAAGTTTCATTTCAAATATCAGACGAAGTTTTCTCGATGTAATATTCATGTATATGTCAAGGCCATCCTGTGCTTCTCCATTAGTATCTTTAGTTAAAAAAAAAGAAAGAAATAAGAAAGAAGAAACCTTTTATCGAAAAATAAATTTAATTAGATTTATTTAAATAATAAAAAATTAGACAAGTTAAAATATAGACAAAAGTTAAACACATATTTTTAATCATGCAATAATTTCCTTAATTATATTTTTATGAAAAAATGAATTATAAAAGAAACATAAATTGTAATTACTTGTAACTTTAAAATTTAACATTATTAAATATACGTGTGATAGAAAATATTATTAAAATATTTTTTATTTAAGTTAAATTACAAACTTAAAATTGCAATTTATATGAAAGACTAGATAAGTATATAAGTATTTATTTATTTATTTTATATAATCTCACACAAATTGCAATTAATATTTAATTTTAAGTTTGTAATTTAACTTAAATAAAAAATGTTTTAATAAAAATTATATTTCCTATTACATATATATTTAATAATATTAAATTTCAAAATTACAAGTTATTACAATATATTTATTTTATAATTCATTTTTTATCATAAGAATATAATTAAGATAATTTTATTGCATGATTACAAATGTGTGTCCAATTTTTGCCTATATTTTAATTTGTTTTATTTGTTACTATTTAAATATAATCTTATAAACAAGATAGGCTAAAGAAACAAAAAAATTAAAAGATAAAATAAAAACTTAGAAACTAAATTTAATTAATTTTAATTACATCAAAATAAAGAACATAATATGCTATTTACAAATTTCTCTTTTTATGTACTTGGCGTCGAGATGCTATGGCATCACTTGATGAATTACACATCTTGAAAATGATATTCTTCAAATATACATAAAAAAATTATATCTTTATAAACATTTGTTTTAAGTTCATCATAACTTTGTGGTTGCCAGAAAAAAGTTGTCATAAGATACTTCAGAAAAAAATGACAAACATATATGCACTCAAAAAGTACCTACTTATTTAAAGGATGCCATTTTCAAAATGTAGTTGTGAGGTAATTTATGTCATGTTATGTGCTATATATGATGTAATTAAAATTAGTTGAATGAAGTTTCTATATTCTTATTTTATCTCTTTAAACTTTTCCTTAGCCCATTCTGTGTTGTATACAAATAAAATTCACAATTACATATATAATTTTTAAATTAATATACTTAATTAGAATTATTCATATATTATATATAGAATTAACATACAATATATAGAAAAATTTGAGAGATACCTATACCACATTTGAAATCCTGATCAATAGGCAATATTCCTTCCAGGGTAAGATCGCTATATACTTGTGGTGGTGTTTTTGAAGTTAGAAAGATTGCTAAAGCATGGGTTGTACCTTTATAAATGAGAGCAATATATCTTGAAGACTGTATCCAGCCCTGTATTAATGACGCTTCCGTAGCCTAAGATTATTTAGTTAAGGCATTGCAAAAATTCACAATATCAAATCATAATAAAATAATTTATATTAAATATCTAAAGCGTTTAATAGCAAATTGCCATTGATTACAATATGATAAGTATATATCCATTATTCATTAAGTTCAGAAAAGGATACAGTTACAACAATCTCACCGGACACGAATTTTGATTGAACTATTGCTAATGGTTCAGATGCCGACATCTCGCTTGGTCACCATATACAAGTAATCAATTAAAACTTATATAAGTTTTATAACTATCTGAAATATTGTATAATTTGTATATATCTGTTTTACTTTGTATACCATTTAATATAAAAAATATACCATATAAAAATAAAAAAATAAAGCCACTTTTTCAACAATTCACTTTAGGAACATATAAAGGGGCGCCTACATGAGACTTAAGATTTAAATTTTAAGAAAATTAATCAATCATAGTCGATTATTCATCTCACGAGAGAAAAATAATCGATTAATCAATTTTCCTAAATATTGTCTTAAGTCTCATTGTAGACACCGTTTTAAATCACGAGTAAACAACTTACATATGTTTTGCAATGTTTGCGGTCGATATACACATAAATATCATAGATATAAAAAATATAGATTGCGTATTCTCAATCAACTGTTGTATTCAAAAGAGAAAAAAGCTTTTATAATTATTACTTTCTTTAATGTAAGATGTGTGATATTATGTATTGTATACATATAAACATAGGGTTGATAGAGTATTGCGAGGTTAAATCATACTAAGAATTTATAAGGTACATATATACGTTCAAAAGATAATCAATATAAAGCCTTAAGCCATAATTACTAGCGATTGAGATTAAGGGTGTGTTCCCATTCACTGATTTTCACAAGCCTATAGCAGCAAGGTGTAGAGGAGCCAGCTAAGAATGCGTGAGCACATAAAAAGAGACAGAAAACGAGTCGCCCATCTGCATCCTTGTTCAATCGCGCATGCGAGAAAAAGATAAAAGATGAATGTACCCTTCGCTC